CCGAATTTTCAATAGATGTATAGAAATCCGCGGTCTAAGTATGACGTTACATCTCGATCGACGATGTAAAACATAAAATCAACATATTGCTACATTTCTCCATGGCTAAATTGGAGTACTGCTCCGGAATCTTAGACCTTTCAACTTTAGACATGAATAGAATATATTTAATATTTATTTTATTTGATAAATATTTTGAATTGCTTTAATTTTATTGTTATTCCCTAGGAAACATTAAACTCGTATAGTAATTAACCTGTAAAATATTCATCGATTTACATATTTATGATTAAGATATAAATTAAAAATGGATATTTTAGATTAAATATTTCACCGATATTCATGATTATTTGCTGATATTCAGTTATCTGTATTTCCAGAGATAATACAAATATATGAATCGATAGGATATCATATCTGTTATTAGATTTGAGTACTATCTTGATTTATTTCTAATACGAAGTCGATATCGTATTCGGGAGCGAATAAATGTTGCGATTTAGGATTTTCTTCGTATCCGCGTGGAATGTTTCCGTGGAAATCTGGCAAAAATACGACTAGCGCGCAAGAAGAAAACTTAAAATCGTACGAACATCTGAAATGTTTTTTTTTTTTTTAATTTACATTTTACAATTAGTCCAGTAGGACAAATGTTTGATGCGCCGACCGTTTCTGCTGCCAGCCGGTTCAGGTGCGTTGTTATTCTACGTGTTTGTTAGGTTATGTCCTTTGTGAGATCTGTTGGGTGTTTCCTTTTTAATCTTCTTTTTATGCTTGATGTGTCGACCGTTTCCGCTGCCAGCCGGTTTGGGTGCGTTGCTATTCTCTCTCCGTACCTTCTTGCACTTTTGTTAATTTCCTCCTTGACCGTTGGTATTCCCAGGTCTTTTTGAATGTCCTCGTTCCTAACGTACCACGGCGCGTTTACTATTGTTCTGAGTATTTTAGATTGCATTGCCTCTATTTTGGTTATATGACTCATTGCTGTTGTTCCCCATAGTGCTATTCCGTATGTCCAGATTGGTTTTATGACCATTTTATATATTTCTGAAATGTGAGTACGAAGACCGGGAACATAATGCTTGTACGAGCTCTACTTTATACCTGTATAACTGGATTAATATTGTTAACAAAATTTTACAAGTCACCTATTACAAGCTATCAGAATTAAACAATTTTCTGGTATACCATAAACAAATTTAATAGCGAAACAAATAAAATTCTACAAGTAAATTTTATCGATTATTATACAATCAGCTGATTATTGCTAATTATATATTTAACGTCAACTTGTAAAATTACCGAAAATAAGTTTATAATGTACAAGTTGTAACTTGTCGATTCGCTGATATTGTTAGTAAATTATCGCGCCAGAGGACCCTGAAGATTAAACGAGGAAATCTATACGTCAATGCCAATTTAATTAACAGCTTAATTAACTTATGTTGTTTCCAGGAACGATATCGTAAATACTGTTTCGACAGACTTGCCGTAAAATGAAGAAGAGGAAATGAATTTTTTATCTCCTCTTGTTGCGTTTAATTTCTGTCTTGTTTCAAACTATCTTAATTGGGTCTTCTTAAGAAACAGAATTAAGAAATAAACATAGATATCTAATCGATTGCGTGGAACACATTTCGTTCCTATCAACGTGTTATTTTCAGCGTGATAAACATCTACATACTTTGAATCAACTTAGAAATATTTTCTCTATTTTTTATTTTTCTCCGATCGAATTTCTTCTTCCTCTTAAAATATTCACAAAAATGAGAGAATTGTTACGTCGCCGAATCGTCCACGGCAACGGTGGATTAATTCTCTCGTCGAAAATCGATCGATTGTTTGGAAGAAAATCGATCAAATCTACGACAGAGATTTGTATATAAGACGTGCTTAGAAAACGACGGAATTGTAGCCGAAAATTGTCGAAAGCAAATTGCTCAAGACCTATCTTCGTGCTTGAACGTGCTCTATCCTCGATCAAAATCGTGGTTAGACCAGATACGTGACTGACACTCGATATGTGAGAAATATCTTCCTGGTAAACAGGCCGATGGATGCACGTAAGATTGACAATCGTTGGTCAGTGAAAACGCCGATATTGCGCAAAGAAAGCGCATCTCAGCCTGAATTTTGACTACTTAATGTAACAAAAGTGGCATTAAGAAACACTCTTCTCACACAATGGAAAATCCTCGCAATGTTAACTACAAATACACTATACTGTGCTGTATAATACCTGTTTACGATTTAGCTCATTGAGAGTCGAATGGTAAAAAAAACGCGTGAAAGATGTAAATAACGTAAATTACAATTTACTATTTAATATTGTTTTGTCGGGATACCGAAAAAGGATTCGAGCAATTGATATAAGTTAGAATTAAAATAATAGGTCGAATGATTGCAATCGATTCTCATTCTTTAAAAGCAATTTTCTTCAGAAACACTTGTACATGTACGTACAATCCAACAGTAATTACATTCAATATATTCGTATATATATATATATTACTTGAATTCTAATTAGAACTCAGGATGTGTACTTTATCACTTCCGGTCTATCCATCTTGGTGGTCGACACCAGAGATATCCTTAATAGCACGACCAGCCAACAAACTTGAAATTATGTGATCAGAATCTGCATCATCACACGCTTGTGAGTCATATCGTAGTTCATTTGGAATTCTACAAATCTCGGTTGTAGAACGACATCGCGATAAACGACCCATGGGTAGTAGAATTCTGCAACAAAACATCCATCAATTAAAAGTTTCAGGCTGAATCTCATTCATTGAATTTCAAATCACAAATTGCAAACACAAGACGCGAGCTTTCATAAATCTGACGTTATGCTTGTCAAATTTCCCTTTATAAAGTATAACTTACCTTATAAGTAAATATAAATTATTATGTAATATCATTTTTATAATATAAATATATTATAATATAATATTTTGTAACGTAACTTATATTTATGCAATATAAATTTATATTTATAATTGTTTTATATTACAAATCGATCTTCATAATAGAAGAAGTTACAAAGAAAGCAATTAGAAATTTCTGTGAAATAGAACTGGATGTACAATGCGATTTTGAGTAGGTCAGAAATCAAAAGAGCACGAAAGGTTAGAAGGGACCCATTATTATTATCAATAGAAAGATAAAATAGACTTGGAGAAGAGAAAATGTTCATGCACGCTTGAAAATACCTTTGCACGAAATATGAAAAATTTCCGCAGATAGAAAGAAACTTCGTAGTAATCGAAATTCTACAGTGAAAACAGTCCATTCAGCGTATTTGGAAGTTAATACCAACCGTGATCTGGCCGCTGGTGAATGTAACACATTCGAATTACAAATTGGGCGATCGAGAATGTTAGGATGATGGATCCGATTAGTCACGGATCGTCTCGTATTTCGTAGGTTAACTTCCTCGATATCTGGCGCGATAACTCGGTCAAACTGGTCTGGCTGATTTTCCACCTATCTCCGATATTTACCTCTAAGCATGAACGTGTGCAAATTTTCGTGATTTCGCAACATCAAACTCGTTAAAGAATGAGCAGACCGTGGTCGTTGTTAAAGATAGAAAATAAAGGTAGTAAATAGCTTTCTGTTTTATCTATTTTCCAGCCATTTGCTCTAACAATTACGATCTCCCGTCTATCTTCTTCGCTGTAGTAATTATAATCCTAATAGAATCTTGTAGGAAATAGTTGCGTTAAATTTATTTTTCTTTAAATTTCTTAAATTCTGTATAGTACGAGATCATATAATTATAAACTTAATTGAAATTAATTAATTTGAAATAATTTTGAAACGTGAAGATATATGTTCGCTGATGTATAGTTATTAAAATATGTTCACTAATAATAAAAAATTACTTATCATCAAATAAAGTCTTTAGACGTCATTGTACACCTGGACATGGAAGATGCATGACGTGTCAAAAACATTGTTTAATGTCGCAATTACTAATGTAACTCGTAATGATCTTTTAACGAATCTTACTACCTAATCCAATGATCAAATTGCAAACACAGAAAGAAACATTTCATGTGTGCTTCTAAGTCGACGATAAAATATTTTACGATTCCTATTAACCCGTCAAATTACAAACTGTAAAAAGACCGTTTCATCTGCTTCCAAGCCGACGATACGATATTTAACGATTCTCACTAATCTGTCAAATTGCAAACTCTAAAGAAGCATTTCATACGCCTCCGAGTTAACGAGAAGGTAAAAACGAATCTTACTAATCCGTTAAATTGCAAACTCTAAAGAAACGATATTTCACATACGTCATTCTACAGAACTTAAAACAGACGGAATAGATGAATAGCCAGAGAAATCCACCAGTGGTAGATTACTCCGCGTATTGCTTCGTATTTCATGAAAATTCGTAGCCGCCAACTGTCCGTCGCGTTAAAAGAACAATAGCTAAGCCGTAGCTCGTTCCTTATCGTCCGTTGCTCTCCAAAACGTTCGTTCTAGCGACGCTAAATAATATTTTCCAATAGCACGGCCCCAGATTTCGTCCGTATGCCCATTGTACACGCGAATTAGATAGCCCAATGCTCGACGGACCGCAGTACCACGAAGCAACACGTGGCGAATAACGCGTGTAAGTTGAACACATATTTCGAAGGTTCGCCTATCAATTATCACGTTCACCACGTACGGCGAACAAAATCGACCGATACCGAACGTTATAGCGCTATACAGAGACTGCAAAAAGTATTGGCACGGCATATTGTATTTGTTATAGGATTTACTAATTAATTAGCTAATCACACGTGCTAATTAATTAGATCTGAGTTTATTAAATTTATTATGTTTTATAGTATAAATTTATTTGTTCGAAAGATTAATTTTCTCAACGGACCTTCAATTACGCGATAACATTAATGAAATTCTAATATTAATGATTTTCGTGATAATCGAGTATATTTTCTTTTTTCTTTCTTTTTCTAATGCTATAAACTGTTTGATTTCAGACTTACGATCAAGGCTGGTTGCCCGATGAATCTTGAGAATTTTCCGATGGATACGCAGAGATGTCCATTACAATTTGGCAGCTGTACGTTTTTAACTTAAAAAGAAATTTTACTATCCGTCGTTTGTTATAAATTTTCACCTCCCTCTTGGTTTCTTTTATCTTAATCGCTAGTAGACTGTGGATCTTTGTGTATTTACGAGGAAAATAGAAAAAACTCGCAGAATGTAAATATAATTTACAAAGATGCGTAAAATATCTAAACCTGTAATAGGCTCAGTGATACGTAACACGTGAAACAATTTTCTATCTACGTTTCGTATTTTAATCACATTCATAAAAATGTGACATTGCCTAAAAATTTAATTACGGTTATGCTGTACGCCAATACAAAACCTTTGCGTTTATATAATTACTTTGTAAGTTACAACGACTTTTATCAAAATTATTTTTGCCAGTGGCGTTCAAGAAAAAGGAACAAGTTATGGAAGAAATTCGAAATTTCCGAGGATATTTGTCAAACGTAAAAAGCACTAAAAGTATAGAATACTCTCATATCTGAAGAACGTTCGCGTAATTGTCGGTTTTTGCGTGAACGTGTCGCACGAGAAATAAGAGAGATTTAAGATCAGCAAAGAATACGTATTTTATAGTAGCCACTCGGGAGGCTTTTCGTCGAAAGGTGACACTTCAACGACGAACGAATTCGATACTTTTTTACAGCTCCAGCGCGACGTTCTAGTAAGAAATATTCTCTTGATTGCAGTCGGTTACACGAAACGGGACGTGATCTACAAATGGAACAGCGCCCGACAAGTAGCAATCGCCGAGGACATGAAATTATCCCAATTCGATTTAGTTGCCAATCCCACTGCGAATTATTCTGCATCGGCGACGCTTTCACACGGTGAGTCAGTGCCTCCTTCTTCGGCACTTTATTCGAAACTTTATTTAAGAAAAAAAAAGAAAAAGATAGTTGCTGAAATCGCTAGAGAAAGGAGAATTTATTTCACGTACTTGCCATTTTATTTTATTATCTTTTTCTTTTGTTTCATCTTTGCTCTTTATTTTGGACTCTTTCAGCGCTTTTTTATACTACCATCATATCTGTTTATAACGATACAAATTTACAATTTTTCTTAACATTTTCTTCTCTTCAGGCGAGTGAACTTTTTATTTATTTATATACATGTATCGCGTGTCGTAATTAATTTATTATATTAAATCGGCACATTTAATCAACTTTCTTACACTATTTTATAATATGAATTTCGATTGTTCTAAAGAAATCGTGGCACTGTAATTTCACTTTAATGTTACCTCGAAGCAAAAACCAAATAAAGATATTAGTAATATAATTACAAAAAAGGATACTATTATTATAAAAGGTATTGTTATTATGAGAAAAATAATGTATGATAATACTATACGATTTTTGACTGCTTTAATCCAAGAATTTAATCTTTCTCATAAAAATTTTAATGTATCACGATTAATCAATTCATACCGAGATAAATGACCAGCGTTCATAACAGTTGACTGCAATTCTTAAATTATAAAATAGCCAGAGAAAAGGAATAAAAATGGACTATACAGGTGTCAGTACGCATCAATTAATAAAAAAAACTAATCGATAATACAAAACGAATAATCGAACGATTCGAAGTAGAAAATTTCAATCATAAATCCAGCCTGTCGTATTTTTCAGATCAGAAATAATCTGATTACTCTTGCCATTCTGTAAATAGACTCTTCGTTGGTCACTCCGCTATGTGTACTATACTACGAATCTAATATCCGCCCTCAAAATGCATGGAAGCAGAAAAACACAAAAATCGCAAAGTAAATCTTGATCTTCAGTAATACGACGTATTAAATATGCACTTTTCCATTATAGTTAGATGAAATCAACAACATAATATTCACAATTCTCTACAGCTTTAGTTTGTAAATATAATTTACGAAGCTACGAAAAAGAGTAATAAATAGAAAAATGAGGAAAAATAAGTTTCTGTATATGTTAAACAGCAGTGAATATGTTGCGTGTAGTTGGTTTTCAGGTGTTGTCTTCCTCCGTAGTTGAGCGCTGGTATGAAACAGAAACAATAAATCGAACGATATCATCAAATACTTTATCCTCGAACGAAGTATGATATATATGTACCTTATAAAATGGAGTAGAAAACGACAAATGAAATTTCGATGCACTCGAGCAAACAAATTGAAGATTTCACTTGTTCACTACGTGACAGAATTTTCGATATCCGAATGAAAGTATTACATGCTCATACGATAAAATTATGAAATCGATAGCGATTGAGAGTTCTGCTGAGTTTTTTTTATGTAAAATTCGAATTTTCTTAAAAATCTCTGTTACGTCCCGTTATCTGGTACTGGCTGAATTCCGTCCCTCGGTCGCAACGGCCACTAACGGTACAAACATCATAAATCGGACTGCAATAATCCTAAGGTGCGATCATAAATTAAATATTGTCCCTTTGACTTCAATGCCCTCAATTGCTACAACATAGAGGTTAAATGGAGACATTCCTTAGGGCCAGCCAATCAAAAATGGGGAAACGTGGGTTTTCCCATTTTTCCCAGGATTTCTACTCGTAAATAACCTACGGTGGGGCGACGAGCGACCATCCCCGGTTCAGTATAAATACCTCCGTTACAGAACAGGAATTTCTAGTTAGTTTTCTGCTTGTTCTCTGATCCGTAACATTTTGGTCCTTCGAGCCCGATTACGTATCAAGTGAAAAGTGTACACACCAGTGATACCCACTACCATAGAGAGCCACACAAATCCATCACTATCAGTGCAACGAGTTCCACCAACTTCAGTCTCACAACATCACAGGTGTCACCTTCGTTAACGAAATACCTTCATCGCGAAGCATGTCGACCGCATCAAAAATCAACTGTCTACGACGAAAACGCGATAACCATCTCGACAACATCCAGTTTATAAAGAAAGGCATCGACGATTACCAACAATCCGACAATCATGACGTTGGTCTTTTGAAAACATATGAAGACCTACTCAAGAACGAGTGGAAACGGTTCCAACTAGTTCAGGAAGAATTAGACGACCACGACGAAGAGGACAACACGCAAGAACAAGAAGGGCTTAAAACTTACATTTCCCTGGTCGCTCAATTAAGGAATCTCATAAAGGGCGAGCGATCATCAACCCTGTCGACACCCAAAGGCAGCGATTTTCCCGCAACGAAAATTCCATTACCGAAACTGGAGTTCCCCATCTTCGACGGGAAATTAGAGGAATGGGATGGGTTCTATCAGCTTTTTTGCTCGACAATAGACGACGACCACCGCCTCACGCCTGTACACAAATTCCTATACCTTCGGTCCGTCCTAACGGGAGAAGCAGCGGACTGCGTGAATGGATTACCCCTTAGCGACGAAAATTACATTACCGCTATAGCCATTCTCAAGGACAGGTTCGAGCATCCACGATACATCGCTTTACGCCACAGCCACGCAATCGTTAATTATCCAAAAATAACTAAAGAATCTCCAACGGCCTTGTGGCATTTAATCTGCTCGGCCACCCAAAATCTCCTCTTATTACAGAGTTTAGGAGAACAAACCAATAGAAACGCTATACTTATCGGCCTCATCAGTTCGAAATTACCAGCAAATATCATTCAACAATGGGAACTTACGTTACCTAACAAGGAAGTGCCTCGGTACACTCATTTACTGGACTTCCTCGAAAATTTGGCACTTATCTCCATATCATCCTCCGAGGTCTCGCCGACAAAAGGATCACCGGATCAACCCAATTCGGTCTATCAATGCGCGCGACAAAGACACGCATTTGCCGCGACACAGGCTCCGTTGACATGTCCAATCTGCCAAGGACCGCACACCATTTGGAGATGTGACAACTTCAAGGCTAAACCCATTAGCGAGCGCCTTAAGGACGTTACAAGGGCATCCTTATGCATCAATTGCCTGAAGAAAGGACATTCAGTGCAAGATTGTAACGCCGGATTATGTCGTAGATGCGGACAACGGCATCACACGATGCTACATAGGGCCAAACACCACGCAAGGGCTCGTCCCGTAACATCCAGCCGAACCTCCTCTCCGTCAGTCGATCCTCGACACCCACCTCATCACCTCATCAGAAATCTACAACAAACCACAAATCGAAGACACCACGAACGAACTCGTCCCCAACTCCATCCTCCAGCCATCGACGAATACATAAACAGTGACGCCGACAATCGACGATTCCAATGACGACCGAACCTATTAACCCAGTTTTTTTTTTTTTTTTTTTTT